GTGGGTGGGTGGATGGGTGGATGGATGGATGGATGGATGGATGGATGGATGGATGGATGGATACATACATGCATGGATGGATGCATGAACCTGGCCTTCCAACAGCTGCCCCATCTGGGTTGACAACTCATCCTTCCAGTGGCTAAAGCCAAAAAACTCTGGCATCGTCTCCGACTCATCTCTCCCTCTCCCGCACCCTATATCCAACTTATCAGCAGATCCTGCTGGCTCTAACATCTAAATAATTCCAGCATCTGGTCACGTCCCAACATTGCACCCTGGTCCAAGTCACTACCATCTCTTGTCTGGAATACTGCAGTTGGTTCCTAATTGGTCTCTTGCTTCTCACTTTGTCTCCAACAGTCTCTGCTCCATACCGCAGCCAGAAAGATGAAAATCCTTTTAAAATATGAGTCAGATGCTAATAGCAGTCCATTCAAAACCTTCCCATTTCAGACTAAAAGCTAAAGTGCATCCAACGACCTTACGTGGCCATCACCCCTCTGATCCCATCTCTTACCATTTCCCCCTAACTTGCTCCCCTTCGGCCATACTGACCTCCTACTTGGTCCTCAGTCACACCCCACACAGGCCTGCCTCGGGGCCTGTGCACCTGTTGCTTTCTCCGTCTTGAATGCTCTTCCTCCTGCAGCAGCATGGCTCACTCCCAGGAAAGCCCTCCCTAACCACCTTATGTAAACGAGCTTCTCCTCTCCCCCAGCATTCCCTATTCTCCCTGCTCTGCTCGATTTTCTCCATAGCACTTATTGCCATCTGACCGTTATATACTTTACATATTTATAAACACACTGTCTGTCTCTTGCCACGGAACAGTCAGGTTTACAAGGTCAGGGACTTTTGTTGGGTTTGTGCACTTCTGTATCCCCAGTACCTAGAAAAGGGACAGGCACAAAGTAGAAGCTCATGAAAAAGTTTTAAATGAGCAAACAAATGAACGAGACGGAGGCCTGTCCCAAAGCCTCACTAGAGAATTTAAAGAATGTTCATCCCCTGACCCCCTAACACAAAAGCTACGGTTAGGAGCTCATGAAAGGAACAGACTGGCAGCCCACTTTCCCTGGGACAGAGAGCCTCAGATGCCAGACGGGGTGGCAGAAACTTGCCTGAAAGCCCTAACCAGCTCACCGAAGCCATGCTTCCCAGGGCAGCACGTGCACAGGCAGCTCCAGGCTGTCGGGGGCCCACTCACCATGATGCCGTTGTGGATGAAGCCGCGGCGGTAGCGGGCCGGCTTCAGGTGGGGGTACTCCTCCGTGCTGGTCACGCGGATGTTCCACACCTGCTTCCAGGCCTCGTACAGCTGCACGTGCACAGGGTACACGCCCGAGTGGTGGGGCGCCACCGCGTACCCCATGTCTGTGGGAATGCCGTGCTCCTGGGGAAAGGAGGGCCGGAGCAAGGTGAGCATGGGGTTCCTTCCCTGCTGGGCCTGACTGCCCCTTTGTAGAACGGGAGAGAGAAATCAGCGGCTAGAATGGCAGGGCGGTGGGTCCAGGCCTTCGTGGAACAGATGGGGAAGCTGAGGCCCGGAGGAAGGGGCATGTGCCCAGTGTCCGAGTGAGGGACTAGCTAAGCTGGGACTCTAACTCTCGGCCCAGTGTCATGCCCTCCAGCACCCAGGAGTGAGGAACAAGACAGGGCTTTTCCTACTTTTTTGGGCCTCGAATTGGCTGGCGGTCCCAGGCTGAGCCAGTGCCGGGCCTCATTCCCTCCAGGCTCAGACCTCCTCCAGCTTTCCCGAGCCTCCCATTCGAGCCTGAAGAGAAAAGCTTGGGCTCAGGAAGCAAACAGGCCCGGGTGTAAGTCCTGGCTGGGCTCTCATGAGCTGACGTGGCCTCCCTGAGCTTCAGTGTCTTATCTAAAAGAGAGGCTATTGACACCTGCCTCTCGGGGTCTCTGCAAGGATTCTATGTAAGTGGCTACAAAGATGTTAATGAAAAGCTGTCAGACTGAACTGTGAAAGCACCAGAGGCCCACAGTCGGACTCCCAGCCCAGCCCCGAGCCCGCCCGGCTCTGCCCCATAGGCGATCTTACTCACGACAGCGAACTTCTTGTTCAGGGCCATCTGCTCAGCCAGTACAGACTGGTTGTGGAAAAGGTGGGGCTGCATGTGGCTCCACATGTGGGGGAACCACCAGAACTCTTTTACGTATGACAGCAGCAGGTCGTCCCCAGCATCCTCAGCATCAGTACCTGTAGCCCGAGCACAGGCAGCTCAGCCCAGCCCACCCACCATGAGGTCCTCCAGCCTGGGCTAGTGCATGGGGATGGGAGCACACAGCCATGGCCCCCCAAGAGCTGCTTGGAACAGATGCCTGAGCTATAGCACAGGACAGACAGAGCCCCAGTCCAGGCCCTGATCCTATTCCTATTTTTGAATGAGTCATTCATCTTTTACTTATCGATTTACAGAAGCTCTTTGTACCCATGCAGGATGTTTAAGTCTCTGTCTCATGTGTATTTCTACAACTACTTCTGATAAACTAAGGGTTGAGAATATCAGAAATGCAGGGCGGCAACCCAGGATCGCTCGGATGGCTTTGGGGCTATATTGTCTACTGTTCCCCCAGAACTGCAGACTAATAGGATTCTGCCTGGAATTTAAAAGAGGCTATCCTCATTGTGGCCCAAGCAGAAGGCAGCTAGAGGAAATGCTCATTGCAGGGGCGTTCCCTCTGGCCCGGTCCCGGGTCCCTGAGGGCAGCACGCGAGGAAAGTGAGAGAGCCCCAAAGAGGAGGGACGGCATGAAGCAGGCAGCCCACAGCCCTCAACCTCGACCCTTAGGACTTGAAAATAAGCTCGTAATGGTGGTCGCCTCTGGGGTTGGTATAATTAAACGACATTGTCACTTTCAATGTTACGTATTTCTGTAACTTCTTAAAATTCGATTACACTTTTAAGCAAAAATAGTACAAATAATTTTAAGAGGTGAAGATGAGGGGGTAATAAGAAAGTGAAGATGCCTCCTTAGGACAACACAGCCTGCAGGCCAGAGAGGCACACGTGGGAGCTGTCATCATGCCTTTGCTGTTCTAAAATGGCCTTCACCTGGGGCTGTCTGCTCTGTGGGCTGCTGGCTCAGGGGAGCCACAGGGGTCAAATGTGGCCCTAAATGTGGCCCGTCAGCCCACCTGCTGCCCCCAGGGCACAGTGCTCTGGGGGTCTGAATGTGGGGGCCCCTGGAGGTTGCTAGAGGGGGCAAAGCCAGGTCCACTTACCTGTGTGGAAGAATTTCCCTGAGTAGCCCAGGTTGAAGGTGAAGTTTGGGATGTGTGTGCGTAGTTCATTCTGCGTATCAAACAGGGCCTAGGACGGGCGGAGGAGGAAGCAAGGGGTGAGGGAAAGCCAGCACTCCTGCCCCTCGACCCCGAGGCCCAGGAGTGTCCTGCTACCGCAGGACCAGCCACAAAGTTTGCAGGGCCCAGTGAAAAATGTGGGCTCAAAAACTAAGAATGTCAAGAAGGCAAAAGCGGAGTATTAAATCTCATGTGGTCTGTTTGGAGCGTGGGGCCCTGTGTGACCACACAGGCCCCACACCCATGAAGCCAGGACTGTGCAGCCACCTCCACTGGGCCTCTGGCAAGAGAAGTCCCAGACTCTAGCCTGGCTTTGCTATGTGTCCCCGAGAAGGCTTCGTAACTTCTCTAGGCCTCAGTTTCCCCAAATGTAAAATAGAGATAATAACATCTCTCGGGGCTCTTGAGAGAATTAAATAAGATATGACATGTTGAACTGCCTGACACGTGGTAAGTGATGAAAAATGGTGGCATCATATGTCTGTGGTCACTGCCACTGCGGAACTCACGTTTTGCCTGTCCAATGTGGAGGACTTCTCCTCATAGGTGAATGTGAGGCCGATGTCAAAGGACCATAGGTCAACGGACCAAACCAAATATGTACTGGGCACCCAGCAATGCGATGTTCTCATGCGTGGCACACCCAGTGCTTTGCAAGTCAATGAAGGGATGTTGACACTCGTGAAACAAACGTACCGTTGTACTCTGGGGTCAAGACTCAAAAAGATCCCTGCATGATGCATAAGGCTGCTAAGAAACCTTTGCACACTCAAAGTCCTGGCCCTCCTGAGGCCACCATCAGCATCTTACCAAGGCCACACACTGACATGCTCCAGCTTTGTGGCCTTGGGCGAGTTACTTTAGCTCTCTGAGCCTCAGTTCCCTGCTCTGTAAAATGGGACCTACGACAATGCCCATCTCACAGGGCTGCTGTAAGGATCAGCTGAGGCAACGCGCAGGAAGGACTGAGCACAGAGCCTGGCCCCCACCAAGCCCTGAACAAGCAGCTGCTGTTGGTGTTATTTAAATTGCATTGTACAGCCAGTACTGTACCAGCTAATGAGGCAACATTCATGTCTCTGAAAGAAAGGCTCAGTTGTAGCCTGTGCTTGGGATTAAAGAAAAAAAAAAAAAAAGCTCTGCCCTTTTTGACTCACAAGGACATTTAAGGCAAATGGGACCCTCGCCGGTGAAGCGTTCTGCAGTCTGCACTGAGCTGAGCACATGGCAGAGGGCATCTCTATTAGTATTCTTCTACAGAAATGGCTCGAAACTGCTAGCATTCCTCTCACTCTAAACATGGGGAAATTAAGAACCAGGAAGGGAAACCCCAGGATTCGTGGGGCACAGCGAGCCAGGCAGCCTGGTTTCTTCATGGGGTCGACACTCTGAACAGGCACCAAAGACCTAGGTTAGAGCAGCAGAGAGCAAGGCTGGGCCACCAGATGTCAGTCCTAAGTGAAGGCTCAGGAGGAAGCACTAAGTGTAAAGCAGATCAAAGAAACACTCACTGCCCTGTCCTAGGGGGCTGGAACCAGGAGGGCTCAGAGCCTGGCTATCTGTATACAAGCCCCTCATCCCGGCTATCCAGGCACCTCTGTGAAACCTTGGGATGTCAGGAAATAGCCTGAAAACCTCCCATCTACCCCATCTTGTCATTTTACAGCCAAGGCTCAGACATAGGAATGGACTTGCCCAAGTCACCCAATTAGGGTCAAATTGGGACTTGAACCCAAATCTTGGCTCCACAGATCGTGCCTGCTTCCCGACACCATCCAATCTGCCCTTCTCCTTGGGAGGTGTGAGGAAGAGTAGAGAACTCACTCTTGACAAAGGCAGGAGCGTGAGCCCCTAAGCCCCAGCCTTCCTTCCAGGCCCCAGGACTTTGGGAGGATAGAGAGACAGCCTGACAATCTGAGTCACTCAGGGAGAACAGCATTCCTCTGGGAAGGCTTTTTCAATCCCCCTCTACATCAAAAAGAAGTCTCGGTTTGGTGCTAATGTTTCTGCCACTTGCTAATCCAGCAGGAGAGAGGATAGGCGGTCAGAGGCAGTAGGATCTCTGCAGAATTTAATCCTCTGTTTTGTTTTCATTGGAGCTATTGTTCAGTTGCCCACTATTTACAGATACCCATTTCCCCATTTACACTAATGAGGTCGTTTCCTTTGCAAATAACTGAGTAAAATTGTGAGTAGATGAAAACTGTATTTTAAAGATTGCTTAATGGTCTTAATTTGCAGGCTTCTCTTCAGCAGTGAGACGTGTGTAAATATCGTGGTTTGCGAAATGCTTTTACAGAGACTTTAGTCTGGTAAACACATTTTGAAACTGCGTTCCATTATCTATATAGACCTTAGTTAAAATACAACTTGCGTATGGTTCAGGCTCTAGCTCTTGTTTTAAGTTTTGTAGGAGCTCTGGTACTGACATAAACATTTTTGAGATTTAAAAATCACTTCTGGGCCTTTTGAGCCACGCTTCTGCTCAGGCCCGCTTCCACTTCTGGAAGTGTACTTTCTTTTCTAATAAAACTTTCCTTTTCTACCGTTAAAAAAAAAAAAAAATACGGCCACGCCACCCTGAACAAGCCCGATGTCTGATCTCGGAAGCTAAGCAGGGTCAGGCCTAGTTAGTACTTGGATGGGAGACCACCTAGGAAGACCAGGTGCTGTAGGCGCAAAATAAAATAAAATAATAAAATGAATGAATGAATGAATGAATGAATGATAAAAATCCCGTCTGGATTAAAAGGCCAATAGACAACCTTGCACAGCTCCCATCTCTGTGTTTTGGTGACTGGGTCTCTTCCTCCACAGACACATTCTTGGGCTCCTCACTCCAGATGCAAAATTCCTCTATATTTAATACTTCAATATGGTTTTAAATAACACTTGCTTTTAATAAGGCAATTAATGAAACCAACTGGCCGAGAGAGGGAAACTAAAGGCACAGGGGAGATGCAGACAGCAAAGCCCTGATGAGACACAGAAAGGTTTGAAGGCGGTGCCACGCCCCCCATCCGGCCTGGCGCCCGGGCCCTACCTTCACGTCCTCCACCTTCATGCGCGTGCCCTCCTTGCCCACGAAGATGTCATCAATGTCCACCAGGATGTAGCGGTCCAAAGGCAGCGCGAGGCGCTTGCCGGTGAGGAAAGCCACGGCGTCCACAAACACGAGCTTGTGCAGCCAGAAATTCAGGTTGTTGCCAAACAGCACGCGCTGGATGCCGTCGTGGAGGCCCAGGTCCTGGACCACTGTGGCGTGCAGCGCGGCGTGCAGGCCGGCGTCCGCGCCCAGGTGCGGGATGGACTCGGACGAGCGCGTCTTGGCCAGCAGCACTGGCTCGTAGGTGGAGTGGTTGGACTGGAACACAGTCCAGTCCTCGCCGGGCAGCACGCCCTTCTCTACCTCGCTGGGCCGCGTCACATAGAGCAGCGGGGACCTAGGGTTGATGCTGCAGTCCTTCAGGCCCAGGTTCGAGTGCAGGAACAGGGGGAAACCTTTGAGCTGTGCACTCAGCAGGCTGTTCTCGTTGGCCTGCAGCCGGGGTGAGGCGGGGAGGGGAGAACGGAGCTGTCAGATCCAGAACCCCGAGGGACCGTGGAATATCAGGTGTACACTGATAACAGCAATGTCAACAGGATTCATTAACCTTCGTGGAGGGCTTGTCACATACCTGGCCCTGTGCTAACCTGGCCACGTAAACCCATCTTCGCCTGTCACAATATACTAGCTAACACGTATGACGTACTTACTTACCAAAGCCAGGCGCCAGGTTCAAGCACTTTATACGCAGCGGTGCTGCTAATCCTCACAGTGGCTCTGCGATGGAGGCATTACTATCATTCCCATTTTACAGGCGAGGAGAATAAGGCCCAGATGGGTAACTTGCCCAAAATCACACAGAGAGAAGTTTAGCAGTTGAGAGCGTGGACTCTACCACCAGACTGTCTGGCCTTAGGCAAGTTATATAACCTTTCTGTGCCTTGCTCAGTTCCCTCTGCTATAAAACGTGGCTGAGAACTTGATAAATACCTCAAGGGGTGTTGGAGGATGAGTGCTAATGCCAGCAAAGTGCTTGGAACAGGGCCAGCATCACCAGTTGATCATTTGGTCCTCATGTCAGCTGCTAATGCCAGCAAAGTGCTTGGAACAGGGCCAGCAGCATCGCCAGTTGATCATTTGGTCCTCATGTCAGCCTCAGGAGGCAGGTTCCTTTGTTATCCCACGTCACAGGTAAGGAAGCTGAGGCTTTCCAGGGAGTGTGGCCCCCAGTCGCACAGTAGTTAGGGGAAGCCACACTGTGCGGCCAAGCGGTCTGGCCCTGGAGCCCACACACCTGACCACCAGGCTCTCCTGCCTGTGGTTTCCAAACTGCTTTTACCCCACAACCCTTTCTTCAGGAGAAATGTGAGGTGATGCCCGCGTAGACGAGATCAAAGAGGAGATATCTACTGGGAATGCAGGAACAAAGGCACCCAACCCCCATATACCTCCAACGCCCCCAAGGTCACCCCCTCTCAGGAATCCAGCTCCCTGTAACTCCTTTCTCCTCCGGGAGTCTGCTCCGCCCAGCTCCCTAGGGATCTGCAGACAGTGCCCCCAGCCCCTGCTTCTCCTCTTTCCTAGGCTCGCAGCCCCCGCTCCTTCACACCATCCCTCACCCTCCTAGCCACCTGCCTCTGGATACAGTATAATTTGTCCTTGTCCCTGTGCCAATTCCATTCTGTCTTCCTGGCCTGGCAAACTCCTGCTCATCCTTCAAAACCCATTACATGTTAAAGCCTCAGATGTAGCACTTTTTATTTTGGCTGCTACATTTCTGTTCAAGGTCTCTCTCCCACCAGTCTGTACCCCCTTGAGTGCGGGGGCTGGAGTCCAGCACGGGCTTGACACCCAATGGGAGTAAACACACTTTTGATGAATAATTGGATTTTTTTAAAAGAATGAAAGAGAAACAGACAGCTCTCCAATACCTGGCACAAGACAGCTGTTCAACACAGGTTTCATTTGTTCATTTTACAAGTATTCACCGTGCCAGGCACTGTGTTTAGTGTCACAGATACAGTGAGAAAAACAGACAGGGACCCTGCCCTCATGAACCTTAAAGTTAAGTAAGGAAGAGAGACAGCAATCAGAACCACAGACATAAACTGAGACTTCAATGTTTTGGTACATGCTGCACAGAGGCAGTCCATAGTTCTAGAACAACAGATAACTGGGCATAGTCAGCTGGCTCAGGTAAGGCTTCCTGGAGAAAGAAAGAGACTTAGAGAGTAAGTAAGCATCAACTAGGGGAGAGGTAGAGGCCAAGTTCAAAGGATGGCAAGCGCAAAGACCCTGAGGTAGAAGAGAGCTCAGCGCAGCCAAGGAATAATAGCAAGGGGCCAGCAGAGTGAGTGGTCAAGAAGAGGAGGTGATGAGGCAGAAAGGTCAGCTGGGGCCAGACCTGCAGGACACTGGAGGCTTGGAAGTGGCATGGACAGCCATCAAAGACTCCATCAAAGGGTTCTGAACGGAGGGATGAAGGGTTCCAATTAACATTTTAAAAAGACTCATTGGCCTGGTATGTGAAGAATGAGTGGGGTGGGGCAAAGCAACAATGGACAAAGGGCACCAAATGAGGCTAGAAAGAGAGGCAGGGTGGTACATAGGGCCGCCCTGTAGAGCTGGCCAGGTGAGCACTGCACAAGGGCACTCCGTTGTGCCCCAAGGTGGAGATGCATCTTCCCAGAGGGTGCCTTTTACTATTCCTTCACGCAGAAGTGCTTTTTTCTGATTCTTACAAAGGCTCTGCAGGGCCTCGTAAACTGTGGTAAGGAGCCTGCACGCCAGGAGTACCTGCCAACTCACCACTCCTGAGCCAGCCCCAGTACAGAGCCCAATCCTGAGAGGCCACCTCCCCCAGCCCAAGGGGCCGCACAACCCCTAAGCCAGCCAACACTGGCCAAGGATGAGAACTGCAAAGACAGAGGAAGCCAGAGACATTTCAGGCTCTGTCCATCACCTGCTGTGGCCTGGGAGATCACACTGGACCAAAGGCACTGGGGGATCCCATTTCAAAGCCCCGACCCTAAGCTGACTGCCGGGCACTGGCAACCCAGCCATTTGCTCAGCTGGGAGACACTGAAGAAGGGAGAAAGCCAAGTTGCTGACCGTCCATTCCAGTTGGCAATAAAAAGAACCAGCCGGGGAAGGGAATGGAGGGTAAGCCTCAGCATCGCAGAGGCTGACCCCCACTGCAGGCCTCACACTAGGGGAGGGGAAATCCTCCTGTTTGCTAACACCGAGGATCTACCCAGGAGACACCCAATCTTCCGGTGGGGTCATCCGTGCAGAGGAAGGAAGCCCAGATGTGGGAAGTGAAAGGCCTAGTACAGATTTAGACAGTGACTAGCTGATGACCTTGGGAACCCCACATCTCCTCTCTTGGCCTTAGGTCGGCTTGCTCTGACATGCTCACCTGCGGTTGGGTTAGAAACCATGAGTGTGGTTGTCAGATCTTGACTCTGACTTACTAGCTGTGTCACCCTAGACAGCCATTTAAATTTTCGAGCCTTATTTCCTTTCCTGTAAAGAAAGTACTTCCTTCACAGGGTAGTTGTGAGAATTATATGTGGTAAGACTACAAAGCAATAAGCTCAGTGTCTGGCACATAGTGTGCAAAAAAAAAAGAGGTCAGATAGTTCTTGTCAGTTCTCTGCCAGGAGGTGTTCAGCCCCAAGGCATCTGGAGTTGCAAAGATGAGGCATGACAGTGCCAGAAACCGGAGCTACCAATGAAGAACTGCTCCCACCCTCAAGGACCTCACGTGGGCGCATGGTGGTCAGAGCTACAAGACTAAGTGCTATCACCAACTATTTGCCAGACACAGAGATGGCGTAGCATGACAGCTGCCATTTATTAGGTGGCTCTAAGTACCAGGCAGTGTGCTAGTGCTTCCTACCCACTGCCTTATTTTATCTTCAACATGGCCCAGTGAGGCAGGAGCTGTGACTGGCCCCAATCTACAGATGAGTTGAGTACCCTGTCCAAGGTCACTCTGCTTCTCAGTGACAGACAGATTTGAACCTGGATCTGGGCTTTTCAGCCCCTTCTCTCACACTGACCTGGGAATCCAGCATCAATAGGAACTGGAAAATGAGTCTCCAGATCCTTGGGGTCCACAGCCTTCTGTGTTTGGCAAACCCAAAGCATAGTGTGCAAGCTGGCCTTGCCTGAAGAGCCGAAAGAAGTATCTTGACCACAAGAGGGCGTCCGTAAGAGCAGAAGGTCACTGGCTACTGCTCAAAACCAAGGAGGGGGTCTCGTCTTATGCAATAGGTTAGGAAGAGCACTAAGGCCTGGAATTGCCACTTGACCCCACAGTGAGACTGAGCAGGTCCCTGCCCCTCCCTGGACCTCATGGTCATCTTCTATAGAGCAAGTAATTGAGGCTAGATGGGATCCAAGCTCTGTTGTACCAGTTGAGTCTGAAGACCTCAGTCCACTGCCTGGTTTCCAGAGACTAGGAGCTCTGTATGCTGAATGTGGCCTCTGATGCAAATTCTACTAAATAAATGGTATCTGAGGCTCCTGGACTCATCAAACAATGGTTAAGACTAAGGGCTCTAGAGCCAGACTGCCTGAGTTCTAATCCTAGATCGGTACTTATTGAAGTTCTGAGTGTGGGCACATTTCTTCACCCCCTCTTTGCCTCTATTTCCTTCTCTCTTAAATTAGGATGCTATCTACCTGCCTTGGAGGATGGTTTATGAGTGTTAAATGAGTTAATTCACATAAAGCATATAGGACAGGGCACGGCGTGGGGTGAGCACTCAATAAATGTCAACCATTCTGACATTTTTCAGGCCTGGGGCTCTGACTTGAACTTAATGAAGTTCATGGCAGGAAAGGCAACAGAGTCCAGGAGAAAAGAAAAAACAGATAATGAAGACAGTCTGACTTCATGCCACTATAAAGCCATAAACCAGGCCAGCGTTTCACAGAGGTGCTTTGTAAGGGAAAGGGGTTTATGATCAAGCCAGCTGGGGAACAAATCTCACCAGGTTGCTCTACTGCAGGACTTCTAAGGGCCTTCATTTCCTTGGCTCAGAAACCCTTTTTTAGTGGCAGAGCATCCCGCTTCATTAGCACATGAAAGAACACGCTGTGGCAAACCCACCCCTAGACCGGGCTCCTCCCAGCACTGAGCACAGCGCCGCTACGCACGGTTGCCCGTGCAGGCCAAGGGACGAGTGGCCAGCCAGCAGTGGACATGGGCCACTTCTGACCCACTTTATGCTCCTCTCTCTGCCAAGGCCAAGCAAGAACCTGCCTCAGGACCCGTGCACGCGCTGTCCCCTCTGCCCGGAAGGTCCTTTACACGGAGAGCCACACGACTCCTCCCCTCACTTCCCGCCAGTCTCTTTATCAAGGATGACTCCCCTGGCCATTCGATCAAAAAGAGCCTCAACCGCCATACTCATCATCCTGACGCCCTCTCCCCGCTTTTTCTTTTTGAAGTTATCACCATCTGCCACCTGATATGTTTATTTGTTCATTGTCTGTCACCCACTCCACCCCCCCCATGAAACTGAAGTGACAGCAGGGACTTTGCACATTTGGATCACCACTGTGTCCTCGGGGCCTAGTAAAGGACCTGGAGCACAGTAAGCACTCAGTAAATATTTTCTGAATGAAGGAACGAATGCCCCCAAGCACCCAACGAGAGTCCCGACCAGCGCTTGCTTTCATCTGAGGTCAGCGTTCTCTGGCCAGAGCCTCTGGATTCCCCGTCCAGCTGTCCCCAACTCCCACCCCCCTTCCAAGGACAGCTTCCCCCATGACACTCTCAGCAAGGACTCTGATCCCAGAAGTCATTCCGGGTGCCCCACAGAGCCCAGAGCAGCTCACCTGCCCACTGGGATTTCTTTCTCCTCTTCCTTCCCATGCAAAATGACTGACTCCAGAGGTGCATACATTCCGCACCCCACCACAGCCAAGAGGAAAAAGCACAGGATCCAGAGCCCAAACTATCTAAGTCTGGGTTCAAATCCTGGCTCTCTCTCTTATAGGCTTCACAGCCTCATATACATAACTTAACCCTCCTGAACCTTGGTTTGCCCATCTACAAAATGGGGACACACTCCATCCCTTGGGAGGACTGCCCTGACAGGTTTCAAGGGACCTAGCAGAGCATATCCCCTCCTACTTCGCACCCACCTGTGGAGCCTCCTTCAGAAAGTGCCTTCTGTGTGCTAGGTCCCCTGCATGGCAAGCAATCCCCCTGCCAAGTGCTCCTAATAAAAGCTAATCCTTTAGGTACCAGGCACAGTGCTCCAAGTGCTTTACATACACTCACCCATTTAACCTTCACAACAACCCTGGGAGGAAGGCGCTACCATTACTTCTATTTTACAGATGAGAAAAGTCAGGCACTCAGCTAACAAGTGTGGAGATGGGGTTCAAACTTAGCTGGAGCTCTCAACTGCTCAGGGACCCTCCTCCCTGCATACCTTGAAGAAGCCAATGATGCCCACGCCATAGGCCACACAGTACTTGTCCAGCAGCTCCCGGTTCCAGGCGTCCAGGTTGACATACTTGAGGATGTTCTCGTAGATGATGAGGGCGAAGCGGCCACGGCCCTTGTCGGTGAGCGTGGGCATGTCCCCCTTGCCGGGTGCGATCTCTGTGCGGTACTTAAAGCGGCTCGACTCCAGGATGGCCACCACCTCCTGGCCCAGCTGCGAGTAGAGGCTCTCCACAAACACCAGCACCAGCGGGTCCGTGCGGGCAGGGGCGGCCACCTGCACGGGCTTGAGCGGCAGCAGGCGGCTGGGGGCCATGGGTGGCGGGTCCCCACAGTCAGGTTCGGGGGCATCTGCCGAGGGCTCCAGGCCTCGCTTCCAGCCATACAGGTAGTAGGCGGAGACAAAAACGCTGAAGAGGCAGAAGACAAACAGCAGGAAAAGGACAGCCTGCGGGGACACGTGCCGACACAGCCTGCGGAGGCGCGCCAGGGTGGACATCCTGGTCCCTGAGACCTCGGCCACCAGAGGCCTGGCCTGCCCTGGCCACTCCAAGGCCCCAAACAGGAGGAGACACCGGAGTTGTCAACTGACCAACAAATTCACAGACACCTAGCGAGTGCGGCCCTCAGTGGGCAGCAGGAGAGGAGGATCCGGGCTGCCGGCCCTTCCTCCCAGCCGGGGCGCAGTCCGCAGGCTGGTTGCGCTCCTTCCTTCCTCTGCGCCCCTTTATGTCACCATGGCAAACCCCCACGTGGTCCTGTGTACAGCAGAAGTGCCCCAGGGCATCAGGGCCTCCTGGGGGGTCCGGGCAGCAGGCTGGAGGACACTGGGTAGGCCCCGGGGTGCCACATGCCTCTTGCTTGGTGGGGCCCCCAGGGCCAAGGCTGTGGAGAGAAGAGTCAGAAGGTGAAGAGTCAGAGTGTGGGCTTTGGGGGTCCTTCGACTGTGGATGCTCAGGACCTGACCTAGGCAGGCCTAAATTCAAGCACTGCTGCTCAATCTGGTTGCATGATTTGGGGCAAGCTCCTTAATCTCTCTTTTTGAGCCTCAGTTTTCCCATTTGTGAAATGAGGCTGACAATAGTGCCTACCTTACAAGAGAGGCTGGAGATTAAGTCCAATCATGTATATAAATCACTTAGAGCAGCACCTAGCATCTAGTGTCTAAAATGGCGGTTGTTATTTATTATAATTATCAGAGTCCAAGACTAGTCTAAGAAAACTCCAGAAGCAGGAAGAAGTAAGACAATGAACACTTACAAGGCCTGGGAGCTGGAGGTGGGATTCTAAATAGTGAACCCCAGTGCTGTTTATAATAGCAAAGGACGTTATTTACAGTACCAAATGCCCAACAATAGGGGACCGTCTTCACCAATTATAACGTAAGCATGGGATGGCATCCCAGACAATTATTTACATTATGTCAAAGAAGAACACTTACTGACACAAAAATATAATTACCATATAGATTGTGAAAGTGGAAAACATGTATAAAACTGTATGCATATTTTTGGTAAAAAAAAAAAAAATTTATGCCTAGGCCAGAAACTGGTACTACATCCAAAAAACCCCCCAAAATGTTAATGATTATCTCTGAATGATTTTTATTTTCTTCTTTTCGTTTCCTAAATTTTCTACAATAATCATTTATTATTTTTGTGAACGTCAGAAATTAATGCTTTTAAAAGATGTACTCAGACACAACAGACAGGGGTGTGAAATGAGAGCCTGTCTTGGACACCGGGTCTGATCCCACTTCTGCCATGACATGCTGTGTGACCCCGAGCATACCCCACCCTCTCTGGGCTTCCTGCCTGTTAAAGAGGGCATGGGGCCAGATGATCCCTGAGGGCTCTTCCATCTCTGATTGTCTACAATTCAGTACCTACTATGTGCCAGCACCATGGGGAACCCAAGGCCACCAAGAAAACAGGTACCTACAATGCAGGGTGACAAGCATGACGGTGGAGAACGGAGGGTGTTTGAGAGACCTGAGGGCAACTTAACAGCACTGGACGGGGAGAACCCAGGAAAGCTTCCTGGAGGAAGTGGTACCTGAACTCACCAGAAAAAGTAAGGAGTTGACCAGGGATAGGAGGAGGGAGGGGCACAAATGGCAGCCTGGAGATGGGGGAGTGTGCAGGAGCTGTCCAGGGACTCTTGCAGCTCGAGCTGAGAGCAGGCAAGAACAGGCAAGTTTCCTGGCCAGAGGCAGGAGGGCTGGGGTGACTGGTCCTGTTTATACTCAGGGTGCACCCATGCCCCATTTCCCACTGGTTAGGGCAGCCCTCTGTTCTTCTGCCACAGCAAGCCCCACCCCTCAGCCAAAGGCCAGGACGAGATGGTGCCTTGCCCTCCACTGATATCTGGAGGCACCTGCCTACTCCAGCCACCTGACCCCACTTCTCCTTCAGGTCCAGGTGCTGTGGGTACTGGTCCTCAGTCTACTGCATTAACAGCTTTTCAGCATGTGTGGTAGTGATGGAGCCAGCAGTCTCAGGCATCTGGGGCTCATAGACTCTCATGGGAATCTGGTAATATTTTGCAATAAAAAATGCACATACACTAGAAAATATGAGAAGTACAGACCCTGTGCCCCCAAACCCATCCGTGACTCTAAAGCTCTAGGCCAATAGAACTTAGCGGTTAGGTGTGCAGACTGGAACCAAGTGGCTTCTTTCAAACCCAGCCCCACCGCCCAGTAATTGTGTAATCCTGGGCAAGTTATTCAACTTCTCAGTGCCCACAGTTTCCTAATCTGTAAAACAGGGAAACTAGATAAGCTTCTCAAAGTTGTGAAAACTAAATAAGTTGATACATAGGAAGCACTCAGAACCATGGCTGGCACACCGCACTGAGTGAGGGTCAACGCTATTATCATACAGTCCTATTGTCTATTTAATGTACTCACCATGTGGGTAACAACTGAGTCTACGAAACACTGTAGAGCTCTGTGCATAGGTGCTCCCCCCGTCCCTCCTTCTCTCTCTCTCTCTCTCTCTCTCTCTGTCTCTCTCTCTTTCTCTCCCTCTCATATCTTTCAGAGACTGTGGCCTTTCCCAGGAACTGGATGGATAAGCAAGAGCCAGATGCTTAGAGGCCGGGAGGCTACAGAGAAAGCCATGGCAAAGCCCAGGCCCAGGCCTGAGAGAGGGTAAAGTGAGCAAGAGAACAAGCCAAACAGTTTCAGTCCTCTGAGAAGTCCAAAAACCCTGGGGTGGGGGTGGGGAAAGCCAGCTGCTCTGTAAACAAAGTGCTGGCCACCCGCGTGCTGGCTGGGGACCTCCAGCGAGGCCCTTGCTGCAATCCCCTCCAAGGCCCGGTGCCCGCCACATCCTCCTGCATTCCAGAACCCTGTGGATCAACGGATGGAGAACTGGGGGGCTTCTGATCCCTCCAACTATCAAGGCCTCAAGGACAGCTGGGAGCTGAGGCCTTAACAACCCCTACCGCCTTGGGCCTGCCTGGGCCTTGCAGACATCCCCAGCCATTTTAGTAAACTCCAGCCTCGCCCAACCAGTCACCAATCTTGGTCATGCATCTAGGCCTAACGAAGTTTCCATTGCCTGGAATGCCTCCCCCTACCCCTTGAGACACTTACTCATCCTTCAAGACCCCAGTTCTAGTATCATCAGCTCTCTGAAGTCATCCCCATGCTCACTCGTCCTGCCCGCATGCCCCATTCCTCAGGCTCCCGCCCCACCCCCACCCTCACCCCCACTCCATAGCTGGAGGCTGAAAACCAGGACCCTCAGGCTAGACAAGGACGTGTGTTCTTTGACTTGCACACAATTTTTCTTTAATTTAAGTTATCAACATTTTTAAATTAAGAGATTTCACATAAAAGTCAGAACTTCTAACTTCTCTTTGAAAACATCATGCTCTGGTGACACTGGGCATGCACCTTCCCTGGCCACCATCACTTGAGGCACTTACAACACCTGCCTATGTATTCCACAGCCAAGCTCCTTCCCTCCTTGGCTTCCCACCCAGCCTCTGGGTGCACCTGAGCTTACAGTCCATGCAGAGTAGACTCCGGGCATTTCTACACACGGCTCTGAGGCCTGTTGCCTGCAGATCCTGGGGTTGGATCAGGATTTACTGACCTCTGCATGGGCAGGCCCTGCCTGGCACCTGGCACACAGTGGTCCTCCCCAAATACCAAAGTCCCCACATGCCTCGGTGCCCTGAAGGGCAGGGACAGGTCTGATTTGTCCTGGAAGCTTTCCCCAGGCATAGGTCCTTTTTTGAGTACTCCAGATATGAGTGAGTGAGCAGCTGTTATTATTCCCAATTTACAGATAAGGAGACTGAGGCTCCAAAGTGAAGTGACTTCCACAGTCACGCAGGAAACCACTAAATCTTGATCAACAGGTTTCCTTCCTGATTTCAAATTAGGTCTGTCATTCCTCCATGAAACACAGAGGTTTCTACTAAAATATATATATGTATATATATATTATTATAATTATCGTCATCTTTACTTTTATGGCTACCATAGAGCATTTCCATGAGCCTGGCCCTGTGCTAAGCACTTTACATACCTTATCTCATTTAATCTTGACAATGAATACTGTCATTATTCCCACATTTACAATTGAGAAAAATGAGGCTCAGAGAGATTAAATCATTTGCCAAAAATCACACTGCTAGTAGATGGCAGAGATGAAATTTGAACCCTGACCCCATAAGAAAGAGCAGGCTCTGGAGCCTTCAGGGGAACCTTGGTTGGAATGGGAAACAGCATGAGGGGGCCTTAGCCACCAGAGGCCTCTAGCCCTCACCCAGGCTCCCACTGTGCTCTCCCAGCCCTAGGCCTAGCTTTCCCTGCCAAGGTGCCGGGGATAATGAATGAGATGCTCTGGTCGTCATGGAGACACCATGGCAACGCTGCACTTTCGGAAAATACCACGGTAACTGTGGCCACTGCTCTAGAGTTGAAAGTCACTCCCTACCCCACCCCCCACTCCGAAATTCTCTGGTTCCCCCATAATCCTCTCTAGGACCCAGAGAGAAAGGAGGCAGAGGTACATGGGCTTTCTCAGAAACCAAGCTATCTAGAGGTCGGGACTGGGGAGGGGGTCCAGCTCTGCCCTGAATGGACAGGCGGGCTCTGGGAGTACAACTAAGCGCTCCCTGAAACTGATCTTCCTGTGCCTTTCTTTCGTGGTGAAGCGCATCTAATACGTAACTTGCATGTACTTGATGACGACTATGCGCAGTGGGCCTCCTATTAAAAAGTCCGTATGCCATTTCACCCCAACCACCTGAGAGGCGCAGTGCAGTGGCTGCTAGCATGGCAGTTATGGGCTCAGATGGAGCCAGCCCACCTGGGCTTGAATCTGGCCTCCGTTATTTAGTAGCCTCGTGACTGTTAAGCAAATCTCTCAACCTTTCTGAGCCTGTTTCCCCAAGTGTAAAATAGGGTTTATACTACTTATCTATCTCGAAAGGCTGTTGCCAAGACTAAGAGATGTGTGTAAAACAGCTCAGTGCCTGGTGCATGGTGATATAGGTTAATAAAATAATATATATTTAACAAATTTGGAAACTGAGGCTAAGGAAGGAAGTGGCCCAAGGCCACTTCAAATTAATAGTGGATCCAGAAAAAGAGGACGGGAGGTCAGGTTCGGGAGCCCACTGGGCATCAGGGACAAGCAGATGACCTCTCGCTGTTCCCTCCTCTGTACTTACGGAGCAACTGCTAAGGACAAGCATGGCCCTGGGCATCAACGATGCCGGCCTCCGCGCTCCGGGGCTTTATTTCTCTGTGATGCTGCCACAGGGTGAACGGAAAAAGATCCCCGCAGCTCTACATGCTCACCCAATCCAGATTTGATTTCCTGCCTGAGTCATTCTTGACAATGTCCCTGACGTGTTCACAGGGTGCCATCACAGGCATCTGGGCCACAGGCACAAGTATGGGGTGGAAAGTTGAGAGAAGGTGTAGGAAGAGCCCTACCAGCAGGCTCAAAAGTATATGAATGGGCACTGGGCTTGGGGGAGGAGGGCTGGCTGAAGGCCAAGCCCTGGTAGCCCCACAGGCAATCCCAGGGCCACTCCCCACAGCTGAGCCAGCCCTTCCCAGTTTGTCACACCCCCAGCACAGTCACACCACCACCACTAGCCAGCCACACCCCACAGCCACCCTGCCCCAGCCTGCCCCACCCACCATATACAGCATAGCCTAGAAAATCCTCCACATTTGCTTCCCAGCTGTGCGGGAGTTTCTCCGGTGCAATTACACCCCTGGGAGGCAGAGACCAGAAGCAAATCTGCTGGAATTTGCTGCAAGCCCCATCCCCCACAGCCCCCGCAGTGCTGCCTGGCCGGGGGCCAAGCTACCGCCTATCAGTCACCCTGGAGTCCAGAGCTGCCCCAAGGGACTGTCAGCAGTCTGACTCAGAGTCTCAGGGCCTCAGAGTGTGCGGTCCACCTTGTAGTGAGCACCCGGAGACACTGAGGCCCAGAGAGAGAAAGGGAACCCCTGGGGTTGCATGGGCCAGGCCTGCCCCACCCCCACCTACCTCGGCCCATTTTCCTGTCCATGAAGACTCTGCCCATCCCCTTCCAAGGCCAGCCTCAGCCCGGGGAGTTGGACTTCGCCAGCTGTGGATTTCAAAAGTCCTCCCTGAGCTCTCCTGCTCTGCATCTCACCATGCAATGCTGGATTTACGCTGCTAGATGTCAGTGGCTCTCAAAACTAGAACACCGGTCCCCCAACTTCACCGGAAGCTTTCCAAGACAGAAGTGGTCTCCTACCCATGGTAGGTGCCCAAGAGTCATGTGCCCTTACCAATTACCTTCCTCTTTTGAATCTGCTATGAGGCATCTCCAAGCTAAACTGCATTAATATGAACTTCCTTTTATTAAACATGATATGCCTGTACCAAAGCTTCGTGCAGGTGACCAACCCCATGCTATTATTTCATCCTTCTAACAGCACCATGACCTACTTTCCACTCATGTTACACATGAGGAAACTGAGGCCCAGAGGGAGCCCGTGAGTCGCCCCAGTGCACTCAGAGCAAATGAGCAGGTGACAAGGAATCTCAGCAAAGCTTCCAGGCTCAGGAGCCTGGCTTGATCATCCTTCAGTTCTGAAGGTCCTCCGTGTTCACCCAGGACCCGAGAGTGAACGCATATCCCATTCTCTGGTGCCTCTGAGTGGTGCTCTTTCTGCTTTTGTTTTCATTCATTTTGTGTGTGTTTTAACACAAAAGCAGCCTTTAATGATCCTTCTTGGACGCAGACCCACAAATCATCCATCAGTCAGCAAGAGAACAAAGCATAAAGCCCTGGTTTACTCCCAGGTCCTCAGTGGCCTTTGGGTTTGTGGTAGGGGGCCCCAGCAGGGACTGCCCAGCAAGAAACCTCAGGAACTTAGACCCGCTTATTGAGAATTTGTCTTTCTTCCAACAGGGCCCGAGCTGAGAGTCTACCTTTGCATCAGCTCTGGAGAAAGGGTTTACCAAGCAAACAAACAAGGCAGCTTAGGGGAGGGGCAGAGTGGGGTACAGGCAGATGAGGCCCAGCCACCCTCCAGTTCCAAGGACAGGCTCCCCTCCCGTCCCCGCTGCAGCTCCCAGCACAGACTGAGGTGGGCAGGCCCATCACAGGAAATGCTCCTCATTATCGCATGCAGCTTCCCAGAATAGGGCTTTCTCTGCCCAGCCCCCAAATCCATCTAAGACACAGTCAAATCCATCCCTATTTTTCTTTGGCTCAGATTATAGGCACTCGAAAAGGACAGAATGATATTTTCTTGCAAATATAACCTCCCTCCCTGACAGCAGCCAGCAATGACTGAACTGGTAACTTGCCAGCCCCATACCTAGGCTGTGCTGAGAGCTTTTCCTGATTTGTCACACCCAATCATCACACCCTAAGAGGTGGTGTCACTGATGTGTGCACTTTACGGATGAGGAAAACTAGCTCAGAGAAGGTAAGCAGCTGACTCAAGGTCACACAGCCGGGCAGAGGTGGAGCTGGGATGGCCCTGAGCCAGCCCACCTTGGAGCCCCCACTTAACACGCCTATACAGTCCTGCTGCCCAACATTTCACACCATTCTCGAGCCAGGCCTGCGGCCCAGAGAGTACCAAAGAGAAGCTTCGTGCAGGTGACCAACCCCAGCTGCTACATGCAGGCTGACCCAGCTTCTCCTGTAACAGGAACACTGCACAAGGAGCACTGCAGGTCCCCAGAGAGGCAGGAAGGACCTCAGCTGGAGGATCCTCACCCTCCCCTGCCCCAGAGCCTCGTCCTCCCAGACAGGCCAGGACCCCCGGGCAGAGGCTTCATGCTAAGGAAGAAGAGAAAGAGAGTCAGGAGTAAGGGTCAGAAGCAGGAGATCTTAGCTAACAGCCAACGAGAAGGACGATGGTGCCAACATGCTGCACAGGTGTGCCACACGCCAGGTCCTATAGCTAGCACTTCCAGGACCTCATGTATTTGTCATGTATTCCCAACGAAGCAGAAACAAAGAGACCAGGCCCTGAACTTCTCCCTTGTCTGACATCCCCGCAGAGGAGCTGTAAAATCCCGGTGAGGCCCACCCCTCGCCCTCCCACATGCCCACTCCACGTCTCCAGATGACTCCTGAGAGATTCTGAAAAGCAGGTGTACTTGGGGGTCTCCATCTCAAGGATGCAGAAGCTAACATCCACGTAGGCCTGGAGTCCACATCAGCATCCCAGCGCCTGCAACTCCCTCCCTGTGCGCCTCCGTTTCCTCAACTAGACAGTGATGAGTGTGGACTGGACCAGAGTGTGTGACCTCTGGGGTTACAGAACCCTTTGAGAATACAGTGAATGCTGTTAATAGACTCCCCGGACAGGTGAAAATTCCTTACAAATTCGGGGTAGCTGTGACTAACCCCCAAGTTAAGAACATGGAAACCTTCTAGGGGCCCCTCTGGCTTTGACGAGTTGTGGCTCTCAAGGTCTAGACAGGATGAAAGCCCCGAATGTAACATCTTAGCACCCTGGGACCTCACCATTCCAGCTCTCCCACGGCCCTGCAGTAAATCGTTAACTTTCAGACCTGCTGGCTTTAGGTGGAATTGTGGACTTGTTCAGCTGTCAGGAGAAGCGGCAAGAAAAACTGAGCCCTTCCTTCCTATCCCTCAACTGCAGCCTCCTTCTCGTCCATCAGGAATCCGCCATGTCAGCCCTGGGGTGGCCCCAGGGGTTGGGACACTGGAGGAACCTGTCTTTGGTCCTGAAGGCAGACAGGACCCAGAGCCAGGCTCCGGGGCCAGCCTGGCCCAGCCTCTGCCTCCGGCCCCCCCTGCATAAGTATGAACATGCACACTCCGCATGTACACGTACGTCCAGACGGACATGGGAGGACTGAACGGGGGGAGGGCACCAGCGGCCATGGGCAGAGGGCACAGGGTGGCTGGGGAGAGAAGGACAAGACCCACCGGAGCTCCAGGCGGCGGCCGCTCAGCTCCGCTTCCCTCCGCGGCGTCCTCTCAATGGTTCCACACTCCTCACTTAACACGGCCGCACCTAATCCCAGAGCCAGGACAAATGGCATTACTGCTGGCCCAGTCCCCTCCCCGGGAGGGGGGGAGGAAGGGGGGTGGCCCTAGGGCACCCTGAGCCACCAACCATGTTCCCGGAAGCCTCCAGCCCCGCACCCCCTCACCAGGTTCCTGGTTAGAGACCACCAGTCCCTACCTCCTGGATATCAGAAAGAGTATGACCTGCCCAGTTGAGCCCCCTGCCCAGGGAGCCCCACAATAGGCAGGGACCGCTGCCTGGAGGTGCCTTCTGCGAAAGAAGAGAAAGCATGTCCCTGACCCTTATGCTGACGGGCCCTCTGGTCCCTCTCAAGAAAGGTGGCAGCCAGGAGTGGAGGAGCCCTCGCTGGCAGCAAGTGTAACAGAGTTTTGGCTACAGTTCCGCCTGACTTCTTGTGTGATCTTAAGCAAGGCCCTCCCCCGCTCTGGGCCTCAGTTTCCCCACCTATCCTGAGAAGTAAGAAGAAGGACTGATATTCCTTACTGGGGCCAGCTGGTGGTCAAAGTGTCTGTGATGCTGGCTTTTGGCCTCTGCCCCATGCCAGCTCACCCGCGGGGCCCTTCCCAGTGCCCCACCCTCAAAGGAGGAAAGAGGGTGACTGCCAGTGTGGAAGGGGCAGAACTCGTACCAGAGCGTCAGGTGCTAGAGCTGAAAAGGGCCTTATGAAGCCCAGAAAGGAAAAGCAACCTGGCCACGGTCACAAAAGCACCTGGAAAAGGGCCAGGCCGGCCTGGGTTCACCTCTCAGCAGTAAACGTGTAAGGGTGTCCACCTGCAAAGGTGTTTGCCTTTTTGGAGGACACCAAGGAAGGCATAAGGCAACTTGCTAAGGGCAAAATTTCAGGCCCCAAAAGCAGCAAAAGGAAAAAAAAAAGATGGCGTGCGGGTATGCATGGGGCCAGGGAATAGAGACAGGGGTGACTGTCCAGCACCCCCTCATGTCACACCGTGACAGTGGCCTAGGATGCCATCAGCTCCAGGTAGATCCTAGGAACCCTTGCAGGGATTAGCAGCCTTGGCGACCTCTTAACAAGACACTTGAGGCCCAGCCAGCAGGCCCGATGGTAGTAATGGGAAGACTGACCCAGAATGACGCCCCAAGCCCAAGTTGCCCAGAAGACACAAAAGCCTTGGGGAAACTGAAAGGCTCCAGGCCCTGTGGCCAGAGTGGAGGGAAGCCAGGTGCACTGGGGACGATGAAGAGGGAGGGAAAGCTTTGAGGCATTTGGAGCTGCAGAACCCCCCTAATCTCCTGGAGGCCTGGTGGGTGCAACACGGGGGCCTGCTGAGACCCAAGGCCCACATGAAAGTGGTCTCGTCCTTCCAGACTCACTGGGGCTTGTCACCGCAATAGGAGCCTGCCACCGACATGCCTCAGCGGTGAGCGGCTCAACACGCTTACACAGAGACGCAGGTGGCGGGGAGGGCAGAGGGATGGGGAGCAGTGGGCAGGAGGGCCTCGCTTTCTCTGGCGCACAGACAGCCAGAGAGCGGAGACACAGCACCAGGTGACTTACATACTGCAGGCTCCTTCTAATGGGACCCAGGAGGCCTCGGTGAGACTCTAGAAGGTGTCTTTGCACCCCCATGACTCAGGGAACAGTTCACAGGGTCAGGAGGCCAGAGTTCTAGTCCTAGACCGCGCTAGGGTGAGGCGAGCGAGGCAGCAGGCACAGGCGTTAAGGAAGCGCTTCCTCTCAGGCACTTCCTGTTGTTGTGTTCCTGCATGACACTGGGAGCGAGTGCCACCTCACAGAGGCACCTGAGAGTGAAAGCTCCTTCACGTTGGCTCCAGGGGCCTCTCTCACCTCACCCCAGTATCAACCTTGCACTAACCTGCCAGTGACCTCGGGCAAGCCCCTGCTCCTTTCTGGGCCTTGCTTTGCTCACCTGTAAAATGGAATGGTGCCAGGTGGCTCCAAGGGCCCTCCTAACTCTAAGCTGGGCGATTCTGTAGGGAGCATAACTGACCGCCACAGATCCTCAGAAATGGGCACAATGGCCCCCCAGTCCCCGCATTCATAAATCCATCAGTCACTACGTTCCAAGCGGAAAACACATTATGCAACCAAGACTGTAAGTGGGTGCTCGGCCCTTTGCTAAATGCTTGGCTCCACTTCAACAGGGCCTCGTCTTACAAATGTGGAAACTGAGGCTCACGGAAGTTTAACAACTTGCTCAAGCTCCCAGTTGGGAAATGCTAAACTGAGATTCACACCAAGGTCTGGCTTTAATCCCTGCATTCCATGGCATCAGCCACCGCAGATCACCCAAAACCCACTAGGGCCTGGAGGATGCCATCAGGTCTTTGCACCTCCCACATCTCTGAGTGTGCAATGCTGAGGCTAATGTGAAAGGCAGGCTGCGAGCAGGCGAGGATGGGAAGACTGCGTGGGCACTGAGCATCTGCAGGCGAACCAGACTCCAGGCAAGCCAGTTGTCCACCCCTGTGGCCACGATGTCCTCATCACCATCAGCACACCACAGCCGCCACTGTGCCGTTTTTAAATCATTACACCGATGCAAAGCTTTTTCACAGACATTGCTTTGGCATCACATGACAACCTTATAGGAACAGAGCAGGGATTTCTCTGCCCTTTCTCAAATGAGGAAAGTGGCGTTCCCAGCAGAGGAGTGATTTCCCCAAAAGCACACAGTGAGGCGGCGTTTGACAGTAAACTTGGAGCCCACGTCTCCTGCTTCCTAGTCCAGGGCTTTGTCTCCCCTCCATGCAACCAGCACTCGTGAGCCTTTATAACAGTGATGACCATTGTTGAGAGCTCACTCTGTTCAGGTCTCATACTCTGCACCTCAGATATTACCTCATTTAACCATCGCGCCATCCTCATAAATTAAGCACTGCTACTCTTTTCCTTTCACAGATGGAGACACTGGGGCTCAGAAATGTGAAGCATCTTGCCCCAGATCACCAAGCTGGGAAGGGGCGGAGCTGGGATTGGAACCGAGGTCAGTCTGGCTCTGAGGCCTGAGCTAAGAATCTCCGTGCTGCACTGCTGTCGGAGACTAGAGAAGCCAAGAGACCAGAAGCACTTAAATAGCGTGTATTCCTGGCAGGTTATGGCAAGATTATGATAATAGCAGGACAAACAAAGCTCTTGGAGATCCCACAAGACGGAGGTTACTACAAATATCCAGGCAGGAGGCCAGGAGTCTAAGCAAGGGACATGGGAACGGAGGGAGCTGACACAGAGGAGGGAGGCGGCCTTGTGAGACCTTGGTCAAGTGCCTTGCTCTCTCTCTCAATTTACCCAGCTGTTGAGAAAAGTCCCTGGAATATCTCCAGAGGCCCCTCCATCCCTAAAAACCTTGGACCCTGGGAAAATAAGCAATGCTTGGCGACAGCCTGGCTGCGAGCCCTAGGAGACTCTGAAATGTCCTTGGCCGTTCTGGCACGGCTCATCTGTTGGGAAACAGGCTTGCAAATGCACAGGGCTCGGCCGGCATGCCTGGGCACCACTGAAGTGTGGGTCCTGAGGGGGCCACATTCCGCTGCTGTCGACCTCTCCACAGCTCCATGGCAGCAAGCAGCGCCCGGCCTGGACCCAGACCAAGAACTGAGGTCCCATCCAAGTGCCCCGTGGAATGCCACTCCGGGCCTGCCCTGTTGGCCCTGTCCAGGGCCCTACATCGCAATTCAAGTCCCCTCAACATCGCCCGTCACTCAATGCCCCTCACTCATATTCCCTAGGATCAGCCACTGGGACTGTAGGGGACCTTAGGGAAAATGACCACCTCCATCCTGAGGGACTTGTGCAAGGCAGAGGCTGCCCTTGCCATGTCAGCAAAGACCCTCAGATGGGGAAGGGTTGGGGAGTCCATCGGAGCCAGCCCTCAGTTCTCAGGCCAGCAGGTAGAGGGGCTCAGGGGCTTGCCAAGAAGACTCAGCTCAAGTCTCCACAGTCACAGCTGTCCCCTCAAAACACAGTGTAACACGATCCTACTTAATAACCCTCCCTGGCTCCCACCACCCACCAGGCAAAGCCTTTAACCTGACTGGCTGTGGGTCACTGTTACCAACAGCCTGTTCACTGGGTGCAGTACGTGCCAGGGCCTCTGCTAAGTGCCTTGTGCACAGTTTCTCACTTAACCCTCACAGTAACCCAGTGATGCAGGGACTATGGTTGGCCCGTATTCACAGATGAGAAGATCGAGGCTCAGAGAGGTTATGTCACTGGCCCACAGTCTCACAGCCAAGAGATTATGTCACTGGCAGAGAAAGAATTCACACCCACGCCTGAATTCCTAAGTCTGGGTTCTTAACCACTGTGCTATGCGGCCTCCTCAGGACCCGGGCCAGTTCAATGCTTCTAGTACAGGAGGGGAAACCACGGCACAGAGAGAAAGCTCCATCTGTTGGTAGCAAAGCCAGGGCAAGGCCCCCCACCCCTACCCCAGGAGGCACTCCTACCCACGTGGCATGCCAAGCAGAATGGCCCAGACCACCACCACAACAATGAGTCCCCAGAATCTGCCTTTTGCTCTGTCTAGAAGGAACGGAAAAGCAGGAGTAGGTTTGCAAAGAGGGAAAAGCACAAGAAGCGCCCAGGAAACATATGTTCTTATAGACTAGATTCTCAGGGCTCAGGAGGGCCCTACAGTGCATCCTCACAGACCCCGAGGAAAGCACCCTTCAACAACAAGAACGTGCAGGCCCAGAACCACCCTCTACCCATGTGCCCCCACCCCAGTGTAAGCGCCAACCTAACACCTCTGACCTGAAATCTCCATTTCTTCCCCAAACCTGCTAGTCCTTGCAGCCTTCCCTGTCTCAGTGAATCCAACACTGTCCTCAGGCCAGACACCTTGCCATCAACACCCTCTTCCTCTCACGCCTCACAGCTAATCCACTGGCTCATCCTGCAATATCGATCCAGAATGCGACCCCCGGCTGCCTCGCTGACCAACCCCACACGGAGGTCCTCCCTCACCCGCGTGACTGCCGCAGCCTGGCTGGAGCCCTGCTTCCACCTCCAGCGGTCTTCCCCACGCGGTAGCCCACACGATCCTTCTCCAGTGTATGTCAAAACAAGTCAGCCCTTGGCTCGGCCCCTCGGCAGCTTCCTCTTTACTCAGACTAAACAGCGAAGTCCTCTCGATGGGCCCGGCGGCGCCATCTCCTACCA